GCCTCTGCGCGATTAGCAAACCCATACATCAGAACTCCCGGACCCGGTATACAAGCTATGTCAGCCAATCGTAAAGTCACTTTTGCTACTCCAGAAACTACTACTACTCCTCGTTTTTTAGCACGATCGGCATGGAAGCAAAATCGTCCACGTTCACCAATACCGTCCCGCAGTGGACAATGGCAAGACTCCAACAACAGACAGAACCTTCTGGTGTGCTACAACTGCAAAGGAATAGGACACATGGCCAAGCAATGTCCATCGGCGAAACGCAGAAATACAGGTCAGCGGTTCTTTCCTAAACGTGCTTCTCCTGTACATTCTTACACTTCATCATCGGTATCTCCTGTTCCTTTTACTTCACGTAACATAAGTAATGAAGAGGATGGGCGTTTTTTGAATAGCACGCAGCAAAAAGTCAACGCCCTCACTCTCTCTCTAGAAAAAAGTCAGGAAGTTCTTCGACAATCTAATGCTGAAATCGAAGCTTTATTGCAGCGTAACCAAGAATTATCTCGTTCCGCTTTCTCCTCTTCTCCACGGTCTTCTCCCAGCATCAATTTCTTCGCTTGTTGTCTCGCCCTCTGCTCGCTCACGGTAGGCTCTCAGGCACAAGAAGCTTGGCTCTGTCCTTCGCAACCTAATGATCGTATGGTACGCGTGCCAACCTCTTTTAAATGCTCGCGACTCATACCAACCTATCGTAATAACTCACAGGCATTGAGCATGCACCTCTACCGTCCAAACACCAAGAGATACGATACTTCAGCACAGATGTGTAAAATCGTAGTACAGACCGCATCCTTTTCTGTAAATTTTTTCGGGGCTCGTTGGCAAACACAGACGGAAACTACCAATACTGTAACGGCGGAGCATTGTAAACTCATGATTCCACATCATTCCTGTGAATATGGGTCCTTGCAACTCTCTAACGGTATCTATGCCACAGCTAACAAACTCGTGATTGACTGGCCATCCGCTCCCTTTGGCTGTTGTTCCCGGCACACTTTATCAGTTACTAACTGCTTCCTGATACCTACATTGATCCACTCACGTCATGGATCTGCAGCCCCAGAGTCGGCAGTGGGGGACTTGCACCACTGTAAGTATGGTGATGGCCGGTGCACCCTCGACGACGGATCAGTCGTCTTATGGGCACCATGATCATGCCAATTTATCCCTATAGGAACTATGAGGGGCTATCTTGTGGGGCAGGTCTGGATTAGTGACTCCAAAGAGCTAGCCTTATCCTGGGAAGAGGAGCCAAGGACACTTTGGGGCTGCGGAAGCAAGCTTACCGTTACCGATCAGGGCTACGCTTTCATAGCTAAGGGTAAACCGCGACATAGACGAGCAGTGGAAGCAGGAATAGTCGCATCTAACCAGTTGGCAGCTCAGCTCTTAGCGGTAGAAGACTCAGCGCAAGAATCGGCCTTGGCACTTTTTCAACATTCTCTTTTAACATTTTGCCAACGCGTTAATATCCTAGCAGCGACTTCCCACTCTACATTAGCCAGGAACCCTACAAAGCTATCCGCAAACTCCTCGGTCGCTTCCATGTTTCGGCAACATATGTAGGGCACGAAGTAGTACAGGTTCATCGGTGCATGCGTATCCCTCCGTCTCAATACGAATTGCTCTCCTTTAACGATACCTGTTACGATAAACCCCGCGTGTCTCTCCATTTGTCCAACACGCGACTTTCTGGTTTTCTTTGTCCGGCTACAAGGGTAATGCTTCCGGAGGCGAACAAGGTACCATGTTCTACGACCCAATTCTCCTTCTTCACTAACGCCACTGGAAGATTCTTGTTCGACACACAGCGGGGCATGTATCTCCCTCTTCGCGCCGACCAAATTGACACACTGTCGTGGTCTACAAGCAATCCCAAATGGACTTCGTTACCGTCATTAACCATTTTTCATAACTTGATACTTACTAACTGGAGTGAGATAACGACAGACGGCCAGATCCACAAGATACGGCAAGCATACTCTCACGAAAAACTCTATTCACACTTTGGGGTCCTGGACCCACTCGCAGACTACTTCCAAAGTTGACGCAATAGATACTAACACAAGCTCTGTAGCCAATTTTCTTCTCCCGAGCAATAGCCTCTTTGACCTATGGGTCACCGGATGTTGTATACTGGTAACTCTCGCAATGTTCAAGCGAATATTGGCACTATATCTCCAGCTCAATTTTCCTGCATTCATTCGTGCGTCACGTGCCATGCAGATAGCTCAAGAGCAGGCAGCATCACCTGCGACCCCAGTATTCACTCTTAGCCCTGCTCCACTTACACATAATTGGTCCACCCCTCAGTCTCACACCCAACCTCCTCTAGACTTAGCTTGCGCAGAAATCGACGCTACACGAGCATGGCCGCCACGACCAACGCTAACACCAGTCAAGTTTTGAGCGCAGGTGACGTAGAAGAAGACTTCGTAGCACAAATCCCAGTCATTGTCAATAACTTCCACATGCTTGCCCTGATAGACACCGGGGCGGCTATCACCATACATAATCAACAAGGAAATGGCACCTTTATGGGGATCTTCCATTTGCAATCAAGGAGAGTAGAGAGCGATTGTCCGCGCAGCATCAACAACTGTAGTAACCCTGCATCCGAAACGTTTGTACCTTGCGTCATCTTTGGTAGGGCATCCTCTTACATGCTCATCAGCCAGAACCTATCATTAGTGAACAATACCTTACTGATATCACCCGCGGTAGTTTCGGCACCCACTTGCCGGGCGCTCGTCACCAATCCTACCAATAACCCGCACGTCATACATAAAAATCAGGCGGTAGCGTCCGCTATCGAAGTCGCAGAAGGCAGCGTGGTAAACAGTGGGACAACACCCACACTACGCTGCAATTCCGCCACTGAAAGGAATAATACGCAAGTTTCATCCTCTACGGAACACGCAAATGGAGAAATACCTCAATCACAAGTGAAACTCTCCGGGGTCGCCGCCGAAGATGCGGAAAAACAGACACTCCTCGATCTTTTCCATGAATATAGCGATAGGTTCTCGTTTTCCTCGTACGATCTGGGATCCTATCACGCCTCACAGATTCACATCCGCACCACAACGGAAATCCCACCCACCAAATTCCGCCCCACGAGTATACCAGCTAAATTTAAAAAAAAATTAGACCTCCACATCAATAAGCTACTCCAGGCTGGGCGAATTGCGAAAAGCGACACTCCGTGGGTACATAACACGGTCCTAGTTAAGAAGAAAGACGGATCGTTACGTGTATGTTTGGACTTTAGGCCATTAAACGAGATCACGATCCCGAACCACTATCCATTGCCAGGCATCGAAGATTTACTAGCGAAAATTGCAGGCAACAAATACTATACCACGCTCGATTTAGCATCCGGATATATGCAGCTCCTTTTGTCCCCGGACAGCCAGTATAAGTGCGGTTGGGCAACACATAGAGAGATATACCAGTTCGTTTACCTCCCTTTCGGGTTGCGTAACGCGGGTGCCTACTTCTGTCGAGCGATGGCGCGAATACTGGCAGGACTCGAAGAAAACTGTCTGGCGTATATCGATGACGTCGTCATTTTTAACAAAAATTTTCCGAGTCATTTAGCATCCTTGAGAAAAGTTTTCGAGCGTTTTCGAACCTTCGACATCAAAATATCAGCAAAGAAGTTTACAGAGATAGCACGTTCATCCATTACTTTCCTAGGACACGAGATCACGCAAAGTTCATACAGTCCAGGAACTAGGAACGTTAAGGCTATACTCGACTGCCCGGCACCGAAATGCGCCAAAGAAGTAAAAAGGTTTCTGGGTATGGCCAATTTCTTCAGGAAGTTCATACCACAATTCGCGAAAACTGCGGCCCCATTGAACGACCTAACTAAAGAAGGATCTTCCTTTCTGTGGACACAACACACCAGGAAGCATTTGAAAGCCTCAAAACTAGTCTGTCTTCTAAGCCCTGTCTAGCTTTTCCTCAAGACAAGGACTTTATCCTGCACACCGATGGTAGTCAAACGGCAGTGGGCGCGGTCTTAATGCAGGAACAAACAGGCGAAACGAACATAGCAGTCTTAGGTTACTTTAGCAAGACACTTTCAGAAACTCAGCGCAGATGGAGTCCCACGCACATCGAACTCTTCGCCATGATCAGTGCTTTGCGTTTCTTTAAACCCATCATCTATGGCAATCGCACGCACATTTTGTCCGACCACAGACCTCTCACATATCTCCTCAAACATAATAAAACACATGATAACCTTGCGCGTTGGACTGTGGAGTTGCAGAGCTACGACATTACTATAGATTACCTTAAAGGTTCATCCAATGTCATTGCTGATTATCTGTCAAGAATCTCCTATCCATCGCAAGCGTTCCGGGATGATCATCCTGAATCTGAAGACATCGTTGACTTTCCATATTGTCTAACCACAAATCCTATAGCCCTTCCCATTATTTCTAGCAACACACCGATAGCCATTAAACCATATGATCTTTTACTCGAACAGAAAAAAGACGATTTCTGTGCAAAAATCCTCGATTTTTTAGAAACAAAGCGAGTGCCAGAATTCCCGACCGACAACGACAAAATCCGTTGGTTGAGCCTAGCCGAACAGTGCTCCATTGGAAAGAATGGGTGCTTGTACCATCGTCCCGGCAAACGAGGTGGGTCGTACAACGTCAGATAGTTAGTAGTCCCCACGAAGCTTAGAGAACCAGTCTTCCTGGCTTTTCATACTAGTCCTTCCGCGAGGGGTCACACTTACTGGCGCAAAACTCTAGCGAAAATATCTAGGAAATATTTTTGGCCACATATGGCCAAAAAGACGTTTATAAACTAGTTCGGGCATGCGATGAATGCCAACGGAAACGGGAAAACTCGATGAACCAAGAAAAACTCCGTCCAGTACTTAGCAGCGCGATTTTCACAAGGTATACATGGACCTCACAGGACCTTTTCACTCCTCGCTCGCGGGCAATCGGTACATTTTAGCCATGATTGACCATTTCTCCAAATACGTGATAGCAGTAGCTCTCCCAAACTGCAAGACTACTACCGTTGCGCAAGCTATTATGGATCACTGCATCTTCAAGTATGGGGTTATGTCGCAGCTAATTTCAGATAACGCACCATATTTCCGAGGGGAAGTCATGACAACTAGGTAAGCTATTGCGCATTGATAGATACTATACAACCCCCTACCACCACGAAGGGGACGGCGCCTGCGAACGAGTATTCGCAACCTTTCACCTCATGATGCGAACGTACGTCAACGAATAGTTAGAAACGTGGGACGAGTTCGTTGCTTCGCGTTCATGTATAACACCACCACACACTCTAGTACAAATGATACACCGTTCTTTTTGATGTTTGGGCGCGACCCAGTCTTTAACATTGATCTCATGCTACAATACCAAGCAGAAAAACACATGCCCGTCGATGTGGAAACGCGCGTCTACATTCAGCATTTGGTTTCAACTCTCCATCATGCATGGCAATCGGCATCAGAATTCAACAAGAAATACGCAATACAAGTCAAAAGGCAGTATGATAAATCTCATTTACAACCTCTATCAATTAAGGCCGGGGATCGGGTCTACCTCAAGGACTTCACTCCCCAACCGGGACTTTCCCCGAAACTACAATACCCATGGTTAGGTCAATTCAAAGTAATCAAAATCGAGCATCCCCACCTCATTATCACCAGCATATCATCACCGCAAACGTCGCCGAAGCGAGTGCATATGAATCAAGTGAAACGGTGCATAGAACTTTCAGGTCCGGTTTTCACTACCCCTCGGGCACCTAACGACGAACAGAACGTATTAACGGAAGCCGAGGCAACCGAGACAACCGTCTCTGGGTACACACATACGGTAAAATCGCAACCATCTCTACGTAACACAAACATACCTTCGCACCCATACAATACACGTTTCAGGGCACGTATGCAATCTATTTGAATCTTACGGAATTCCGTACGACTTATTATTACCTACTCCAACTTGCAACATTTTTACATCCTCCTGACTATCTTACCCCTTTGTCCTCCACAGTTCACTTTTCACCTGAATGTGTCATCAATCCGCACCTGTTTCTGTTTCCATGCTTCACAACTGATATGCGCACGCTCACTGTCGTCATCGCGTCCCTCATATCAGCACATAACTCAGGTTTACCATTTCAGATAGCGCTCACTGCTCAAAGCGCTCGCGACTGTTAATGTTTCCTTTCCTATTCCATCGTTCGTCCAGCGAATCTTCGAATTCGGCGGACAAGCCTCGGGACGGCACGTCTAGTGACAGCCCCCAGGGCAGCCAAGAGATGGCAACTACCGACACAAACGTAGCAACCGCAGTCAACACCTCGCGAACACCATCATTCGCATCGCACGAGCTGCTGGCCAGTGATCCAGAAGTCCAAGCTTGATGTGAGTCACCAGTCAACATAGATACTTCCTTAGCAACACCTACAAATTCTGACTTTGGCAATTTAGGTAATACTCCTATTCAACCACGTAGTGGCAATCCACAGACAACCCCCGCCCCCTCGACGTCACCTCAACACCTACCTGTCGGCCCAGACATACAAGCCACGAGTGAGTTTCACGCCTTATAGATACAGTTTCGCTTACATCAGCATTCTCTAGTTCTTGCGACATTACAGGTAAGCAATCACTTCCGCCACGTAGTGGCACTTCACCGACAATATCGCTCCCACAGCAATCAGTGGATCTCCCCTCGACCTCACGAGCTCAACCCACCCCGCCTAACTCTCTACCACCCAGACAGTCTCCACAGGGCCAACAGCGTATCAGTCGACCGCCACAGATAAACAAATACAGTAGAAAACGTCGTTATCCGTCATCACGCAGACAAAAATCATTTAAGCGCCCTGCTAGAGGGCCTGCGCAAGCCGAATGGCTACAACGACGAACCGCAGATGACTATTGGCACTATCTAATGGACATGCACCCATGGGCACGCCACGTCAAACCACGGCCACTTCGTCGCGAAGACCTCACCGAAGCTCAGATCTCCAATGTCCTGCCGGAGGACACATACAGACAGGTTCCTCACCTTGGCTACATGTCATCATCTTTTGTACGTTCGTTGTTCCCTCGAGTTCCACCAGACATGAAACAAGTATCAACGACGCTACCCTTCATCGAGTTTTCAACCCTCGAAGACGCCATTTTTTTCCGAGATATATCACAGAGAATGCTAGAAACAACTCTACGGGGTGACGCGCAACCCGTACCCCAGGAACGGACAAAAGCCCCAAGGGAGTGCGATCATCGATCCTTCTACCACCCAAACTAAAAGGCAGTTATCCGGTGCTTTATCAAGTTGCAGCCATCGCATCCAACAACCTCGTTTTGGAAGCCAAGGATTTCTTCGTCTTTATGCCAGACCGCCGCGAACTACACTGCATCCTGTTAGACCAGTTTTCCTTCAACATCGAAAACAACGCGTACGGTTACGACAAAACTTTAGTCTCAATGAAGGACTTCGTATGGGTCTACGATGTTTCTCCCACCATAACGGCATTGCGTTCCCCTGCACGATGTCTTCAACTCGCTAGAGAACCGCGCACGGCAGCCCTCGAGATCAATTCCGCGTTCTTCTTCCGAGCGGCTAACTTCGCCTTCGTCACCCCAGCCGTCTGCTCGGAACGCCACAGCGCCGTCGTACTGGACCTCGCCCGTAGAGGCAAATTTCTCGACACTATTAGCAACTTCAAGCTAGCCATTAAGGGAGCAGGCGAAGCAGTAACAATCACGAAGTCTCTGTGTAAGTTCGAGTGGCCGCAGGTCCAAGAAGACGAGATCCTCTTCACTCAGAGTCGACGTCAAGTATCCTGTGCAGTACGCTTCTCGGAACCCCCAGCATCCCTGACAGCACGAGACTGGTTGTGCAGACAAGTTGAGTACTTCTTCCCCGCGTATCCAGACGAGGGTATGGCTCCATTGGCAGTTATGAAGGCCCAAGATGATGATGCCAAATGGTTTTGCGACAGAATGGGACCGTTCAACAACCTGATCGACAAACATGACCAGGCCATCAGACGGATGGGCAAGGTCTACAGCATGGCTTGTGCTGCTCTGGCCGCCTACACCACGATGTATGATGACCACAGGACTCACAGGGTAACCGGCACCGTTCCATCACTCACGTCCTATCCTCTGCAAATAGAGTTCACCCTGTCGGATATGTCGTCAGAAACCGGATAACAAAGCACTGACCTGTTTCCGTATGGATCAGAGGCGCAGGACGATACATCAAGGTCGAAATCGAGGAGGCCACATTCTTACCAGAAAACAGGCAAGTGCGGGTGGTTTTATCAGCCTACACCCAGACTCACGACACCATGGTACAAGCAGTACGAGAAGTCAGCCGTATAGTAGGAACCACTACTTTCCTAGACCTATATGTCAAGCTCGCGCGAATTCCAGGAAAGGCCAATCCGGCATTTGAGGCAATAGCACGAATGAGGATTCACGAAGATCTTCGAGAAGCGGGAGGAGACACTACGCTTATCGACCTCGCCTATGGAGCGACCAATCTCGGATGTATGACGGAAGAAGAGGCAGCGCAAGTGGAAGAAGTCCCAGTCATCGACACGGTCACAATCCACGGTCGCCTTCTACACCTCACCAACAACCAACAAGAAGCCCTGGTACTAGGGAATAGCAGATACCCATTAATCGCGCTGCAAGCAGCCTTTGGACCTGGGAAAACAGTAGTCGGCGCTAGCATAGCCATATATCAGGCACAACAAGGGCAGAGGGTCATCGTCACCGCCTCGACGGAAACGGCCATAGCGCAGTTCACAAATACCCTGCTAGGATTTGCCCAGGCCAATGATGTCGGAGTGGTCCGGTTTGTCGCCGAGACAATAGCGTTTGACACTGACGTCCCATCAACACAAGTCGACCTCAACGAAGTTCTCAAACGCATTAGCACAGTCTACGCACCGGTCCTCTCGCGCTCAGAAAGGGAAACGTGCAGACGCTTCGCAGAAGGCAGGGTACGATACGAAAGATACAAGCGCGAGCGCCGCATGGACCTCAGTGACCAGGAACGGGAAGATTTCATCATGGCCGAGAGGTACGTAACCTACAATCTGCAGGAGATGGTGGACATATTGTTCAAGCATATGAATCCAAGGACCATCTGCATCACCACGGCATCTCTGCTGAACACCACCGACAAAAAAGGCCTTTTCAGGGGATACTTGGACCGTTTTAATCTCCTGATCTGCGACGAAGCTTCGCAAGTCCCCGAACCTGTCTTCATGGCGATGGTAGCACGGATCCCGACGGCAAGGCATATCTACATAAGAGACGTCCACCAACTTCAACCCTACGCCAAATGCTCGCGCCTACACAATCCTGCACGCCTGGGCGCCCAAAGCATCATGGACGTTTTACAGAAGGCACGGGCGGTGCCAGTACGCAACCTCGTTACGACATTCAGGGCCCATCCCGACCTTCTTTCCCTACCGAACACCTTGTCCTACGAGGGAAGCCCAGCTTTATTAGCGGTGTAACCGCAGCCGACAGACAGCTACTACTAAACATCGTCGACTTTCCGAATCCTCGTCTACCATTCATGTTCATAAACATCAACGGAGAGTCGGTCAAGGTCGTACACTCTCAGCAAGGGAATCGCACCAGCCGACATCGTGATAATCTGCTTCTACAAAGAGCAACAGCGACGCCTTGCAGGATTTGCCGCACGATCAGGAGTCCGCTTGTCGACAGTGGATGCAGTTCAAGGCTGCGAAAAAGAAGTAGTTGTGATACTCACCACCAAGACAAACTTCGACCCCGAGGGCGCGAAAATCCTCGACGATAGAAGACGTATGAACGTTGCCACTGACGCGATGCCGTCAAGGACAATTCTTGCTCGGCCATTACCAGTCGTTGGAGCCGCTACCCTTCTGGGGAACGGTACTGCAGTGGGCCAGCGAGCGCAACGCCATTATTCCTGTTACCAGCCTAGAACGGCGGCTTAGGGGCTAAGAAAAGGTGAGTTCAATAGACCAAGGCACCTACCCTTCTCAAAAGTCCCTTCGGGACTTTTGGGTAAAAAGGGGAGGTGTAAGGGAGAATAGCTGTAATACGGTTGATTCAGAAAAGAGCGCGGCTATCGGAGAAGCTGAGCTGATACGGCGCGGGCAACTTAAGGAGGCGAGAACGAACCAGCGGGAGGACGCCACCATCTAGAGCGGTACGCTCACCACCCGACGTCGACCTCTGCTGCTCATCATACCGATCTACATCTTTTTCGTCAATAAATCTGATTTTCTACTATTCGCTTATTTTCCTAATAAATAGTTATTCTTTACTGTGTTTTGTTCCAGCAAGTGAGGGCCCAACACTTACTCCACAATAGATCGGTGCACTTTACAAAATAGCTCTGAATTAAGAAAAGCAAATTACGCGCAAGATTCTTGCGCGAATTTGAAAGCACTGTCCGTGGTAACAGTTTCATGGAGTTGACAGTTACGATTGGCTCAGGAGTTCTGAAGAAAGTTTTCTTTTGGCCCAGGGAATCTGGAACAAAAATAGCTATAGATTTCAGAGCGCTACTTGATTCAGCAACAGTTTGTTCGGCACTCCATGCCGTGACCGCAATCTGCATTACCTAAGCAAAGTGTTTCAATCACTAAATATATTGGCTTGAACCTCAAGTTCGTCCACACAACTTTCAGAGAATGGCAATCTTCTCTTATTATGCACTTTCTAATGACACCTTGACCACTCTTCAGTATGCTCTGACTGCAAAGACAAAAAAAGAAAGATCTTTTGAGGTTTGGAGATTTGAAGCAAGCCCGTTGAAGATCCAAAACTGTGCGATAAAACTCAAAACAGCTAGTGTCATAAGTTTTCTGACCTCCTCTTTCCAAACGAGCAAAGCTTGTGCTATCAAGCTCTTTTTGGAAAAGGTATGAGTTTGAGAAAAAAGCCAAAAACCAGTTTTTTAACAAGGGAGGGACCGCTGATCGAAGTGGGCTATCTATATGTGATGTACAGGGGATGTCCCAAAAAACGTGCACACTGTTTGATCGTTACTGACTTTCTTGCTTTTCGCCGAGCTTGAGATACCATTAATTAGAGCGATGTTCAACTTGGATCTACATTAGGGAGCGAATCATCGACCTCTCTTCAGTACTGTAGGATTACGATAGAAACATTGACAAGGATTTTAGGCCTTCGAAGGCCATATTCCGTCTCGGAAAAACCAAACATACCAAAATCTATACTATGAGAATGGAAGCCGCTGATTTCAAATATGGAATTTCCACTTTACTGCTATGCTTCTTTTTATAGTTATCTCAGGTAATTAAAACTGAATTCCCACCATTTGTCAGAAATGTGATTACACCGTCAGAAAAGCTGAAAACACTCCTAAAAAATTGTGGAATCAGCGTGCGCGAGAACCCTAGTACACATTTTTTCGGGGATTTTTTTTTGAGAAAAATCTTGTCAGATGGCACATTTCACAATAGTTCCACATGCCGGAAGTTCTCCGTAATCTTACATTAACGAAGAGCGAAAAGTGATTCGCGCCATACTATAAATCTAAGTTAAAGTTCGCTCTGTAGCTGCTCGATGATCCTTTGAGGAAAGTCATGAGCTGTTGATTCCTCGGGATGAAACGTCACTGCTCAGTTACGGAGGCCCCGCCAAGTACGGGCACACCCGCGAGCGGATGGCTTAGTGGAGATCTGCGGAGACTATAAAACAGGTGGTCGAAAGTTCGGATCCTCTGTCAAGACGGTATTTTTGCATCTTTGCAAATGGTTCGGGGTATGTCCCTACTTAGACAATTGAAGAGTATGGTGAGGCAAATAGCAGTTTCAGTGAGCGGGCGACGATGCTGCAAAAATGGCGGTGAGCGGGCAGCGACGGGATATCAGAGGGCAGCCAGAGGTCAAGATCAAAGCTGCTTGAGGCTCCGGGAGTTATTTACGACATCTTTTATGCGTTTCGCGCACAAAAATTTCTTGCAGAAGTCAAATGAAGTGGGCGGAGTTTGTCAAAAAAGGTTCGGGCCAACATAAAAAAATCGTGATCTAAACTGATTATATGATCACAAGTTAGAACGATTGGGCACAGAGAAAATTGAATGTAGGGTGCCGCGCAGCACAGTTGTCAACGTGGTAAAATTTCACGTTATAGCATTGTTCTTCGTACTTTCTCGCTATCAAAAACCACCACGCTTTGAGCTGCCGCGACTCCGCCTCTATACGAATCGTGAAGCCCATGATACCTACCTATTTGAATTTATTTTGGAATATGTTTCCTCTCCCTAAATGCCTTTGCGTTGAGTTAGTGACAAGGAAAAAATACGCGAGATTGGTCATATGGCTAATCTCGCGTAGGATTTAGCCATTGAGCTGATGACAATTTGTCTTCCTGTTTTTGGAAATGTTTCTGTAAAAGGATCTATAAGATCTAACCCGTTGTCTTATCCTGTGACAGATCATTCAAGTATGGTATAGCGGTATAGGTCTCTGCGTGATCGTTAGAGTCGACGACTTTGCGGCCATTGCACACGCAGGTTGCCCTACGACCACAGACCAGTCCAACAATCCCTTACTATTCAAAATCGTTTCAGCTGATTGGAAGCTAACATCTGATGGCAGAAAAGCAACTGAAAGGAAAAAGATGACTGAGAATGCTCAATGCGCATGCAATGGCTGCAAACTCACCAACTCTCGCGGTCGTGCATGCATGCACAGACCTATAAGTGATTGCGCCTTAATCAACAGAAAAGTTTGACTGCTGTCTAATAATGTGCTTTCTTTCGACAGCTAAGTAGTGTGAAAATTGTTAATGCTCATGAAGGCGCGATTCCAAGTGCGATGCAACTGTTCAGAAACAAATATTGTTTTTACACATATATTTTTACACATATAAATTGGTAGTTTCAACTCAACAGGACGAGTTGCCTGTTCGCCAGAGACTTTTCCGATTTGTTGTAGTACTCCCACAAAGCAAACAACTATTAAACGCATGCTGAATACGCCATCAAAGTTAAGTCACCACCACAATGCTCGGCCGCCTCATCGTGGGGGTGACACTGAGTGTCGAACTGCGATGCACAGCCGAGTGTACACTCTGGCAGGGCCTCCCAAGTTGTGAAGGAGTTCGACGTTTCCAGTTTCGGCCGGATGCCTAGCTAAGAGCCGGCCAAACCAGATCCGCCGCCACCTGGTTTTCGGTCGCTAGGCGGTTCTCCCCACTCCAAGCCCGAGGTCAGCGATCGCCCCGTGGAAATCAAGAGTAGGCTTAGTAAGTCTGCTTTGTAGGGGACAAATTTCACTCTACCAGTTAGATGAATAGAAAGAAACCCTGCACATCGGATTCCGCCTACGGCGCCGGGTGGTAGCAAGACCGAAGACCGATGTCAGGGTCCTCGGGGCGTCTTTTGGACTGGGCAACGACACGTCTGCCCGGACGACACGCCATGGAGAGTACCTCATGCTCTGCACCTGCAACGTCAGGACAGTCTCCACAAACGCCGACCTCTACGCTCTTCTCGACGCTGCAGAGCACATCAAGTTTCAAATCATCGCTTTGCAGGAAACGAAGTCCAGGAAGAAGGACGTGGGACAGATGAGTGATGGGACCCTCATCATTCGTGGGGAAAGTTCCATCACGAAGCGTGGGAGGCGTTGGCTTTGTTCGTCCACCCATCTATCACCCATCTTGTCGATTCGCATGAGATCCTGTCACCTCAACTGGCCATCTTACGACTACGTCCCACGTCGGAAAATACCATCAGCATCATCGACTGCTACTCTCTAACATCAGCAGCCGACGACTTAGAACTAGATGCTCTCTACGAAGACGTGGGGGAGCTCGTTCGCAACGAAAAGTCCTTCTACAAGTATGTTGTGGGCGACTTTAATGCGAAAATCGGGATGCCACTAGGAAAGAAATATAGGATCGGGAAGTTTGGATATGGGCTCCGGAACGAAAACGGCAACCGTCTCGTTGGGGTTTTCTCCGCCGCAAGACTTTTCCATGGAAATTCCATCTTCATAAAGAAAGAACATCGCCGGTGGAAATGGGATTCGCCCAACGGAACGACTCACGCGGAGATCGACCACATTCTCACCAACCGAAGGTGGAGCTTACTCGATGTCTCTGTAGTTCCATCCTTCTGCACTAACTCCGATCACCACCTGCTTCGAGCGAAGATACGATTCAGCCGAAAGCTGCAGAAGAAGGTCTGTCACAGTGCCGCAAGAAGGAAGGAAGTCGTTTATGACGGTAACAGGCTGGAAGAGCTCATATCAAATTGTGACTGGCCCATCGAGGAGGACCCAACGTACTACTATGACCGGTTTCTGAAAGGATTGCGAGCTTGCGGAGAGTGCGCCCCAGCGACTTTTGAGAAGAACTTGGAAAGCATTTCGAAGACCACCAAGGAATTGCTCGAAAGAAGAAGATTTTTGAGGCAGGATCCGAATGCAACTCATCTCGAGCGACTGATAGCCAACGCCAGTTGCAGAGTACAGGCAAGCGAAGATACTGGAAGCAGCCGAAAGAAGACGAAGTCTCAAGAAGTGCCGAAGGGACCTTTGCGAATATCACGTACCGCTGGCTGCACTATTGAACGAAGACGGGACTCCGACTTCTTCCCGATACAAGATGAAATCTATCGCGAAGAACTTCTACGCCAATCTCTTCCGCTCATCAACACCCGCGCCGATGCCCGTTGTTCCCATTGGAGAAGTACCACCACGAATTCTACCTGCTGAAGTGCGCACGGCGATTCAGACCATGAAGACATCCACGGCTCCAGGACCAGACCATCTTCCCGTCGAATTTCTGCGAGCCGGAGGGCAACGTCTACACGAGATTCTCGCGTCGCACCTAACATCTTACCTTCAAAAGGAGAAAATTCCCGACCAGTGGAGAACGTCAAGAACCGTCGTTCTCTTCAAGAAGGGTGAACTGGAGAATCTACCGTCCAATATGCTTGCTGCGTGTGCTGTACAAGTTTTTCACCACGATTACCCTCTCGCATATCTAGGATACTGGATGAAGCCCAACCCCAAGAATAAGCTGGATTTCGCAGATTCAGCTGCATGGACCACATCCAGACGGTTTCGAGGGTCACAGAAGTCTGCCGGGAGTACCGACTGCCTCTCGTCTTAACCTTCGTCGACTACGAGAAAGCCTTTGACAGCGTCGAAACCAACGCCATCCTGTCTGCGCTAGTCGATCAAGAAGTGGACCCAGCTTACGTGAGGGTACTAGCCGACTGCTACAAGAACTGTACAACAACGATGCAGCTATTCCATCGCCCCTGACCATTCCAATTGCGAAGGGGTTCGACAAGGCGACACTATTTCGCCGAAACTGTTCACCGCGGCCTTGCGGTGGGTGATGAAGTCACTGGACTGAGACGGGAGACATACGAGTAGATGGGAGATTCCTGTCCAACCTTCGTTTTGCGGATGACATCGTCCTCTTTTCGAGCGGTATCGCTGAAGCAGAGCCGATGCTGAAGGAACTGAACGAAGTAGGGAAGAAGATAGGACTGCGAATAAATCGAAAGAAGACTCAGTTTATGAAGAACGCCCTTTGAGAAGATGCAGAAATGGAATTGGAAGGTACCCCTATCATAGAGACGTCTTCTTACGTGTATCTCGGACGTTCCATGAACATGGAGAACGACTTGAATGAAGTACTTAACAGGAGAAGAAGAGCAACCTGGGCGCCTTCGGGCCTCTGAAGGAAGGCACCGACCAACTGACGAACCCGGAGCTTCGTGCCCAGCTGTTCGACTCAACCGCTCTCCCGACGCTTTGTTACGCAGCTGAAACTTGGGCTGACACCGTAGCTAAGTCGAAAGTTTTACGGATCATCCACAGAGCGCTCGAGCGCAGTCTTCTGAAGATGACCCGACACAAGCAACATCTAGTTGGACTTCGCAGTACGGATATGAGACTAATGTCTCGTCTTCGTGACCCAGCGGAATGCGTTAGGAAAGCGAAACACCGATGGGTCGGTCACATCATGAGAAGAACAGACGACAGATGGACACTAAAAACATCTGAGTGGATTCCTCGCGAAGCAAAACATCCACGAGGAAGACCTCCAACGAAATGGGCAGACATATTCGTGGAACGGATGGATCAGCTGAGGAATGAGCTAGGATACGATTATCGCACCTGGAACTCGTGGACGCAGCCACCCGGCAACCAAGAAGATCGGATGTCCGAAACGAGAGATATGGATCAATAAAAATTTCCGTACTGGGGCCCGCACGTCACGTGAGGACGGGCCATCTAAGTATCAAATTAAGTAAGTAATTTGAGTCACACACGCAGTAATCCAAGATTGCAATGGGAGTTATTTCTGCAGAGATGTCGATAAAACGGACAAATTGGATGACCACTATCACATGCGACATGAAGTATCAATTTATTCATAGTCACAGGATGTGAACACTTTTTACGGAGCGTATGCCCTTCTGCACCGCTTCGTCCTAGCGCTAATTACTGTGCCCTAAAGCGCGTTAATTAGTCCGCTTTTCTTATAATTAGCAGAGTTTCAAAATATTTCTGATGAATAAAGCTACCTAACTTAGCTCGGCCTTAGGCCCCGGACAGACTTCAAGCGATTTGATCGTCGAGACTCAATCGCCGACATTTCCATTCATTTTCATTTCACATTTAAAAATTTCGGGCTGGAAAAGTATCACAACCGAAATGCAAGTTGATCGACATGGAATGATGTTGTAACAGTTGTCTCGTTGCGATTCAGTCGCGACGATCAAATCGCGTAAAGTCTGTCCGGGGCCTTATGGCAAGGGACACATATATTTGGAATCAGCTTCAAACGCTGATTCCAAATATGCTACCACTAACTGCCGCGCACCATTCCGAAGCGAGTTATGGGCTTTTTCCTGCGCCAAATTGGCATACTACTGAACATGAGAAGACTGCCTATAAATAAAAATCTGCAGGAAAAGGTGTGAGATATCAAAATAACACAAATCACTTATTACTCATTAAAAAGAAGCTTAACGCGACTGTATTAGCACTTAGATGATCATGCCGTGATGCAAGTGAGTCGATGAGTATGCCAGTGCACAGGAAAATGTCCATAACTCGCTTCGAAATGGTGTGCTCGGCAGCTAGTAATAGAATACTTGGAATCAGCGTTTGGAGCGTCGAGATTCAGAATATATACAGGGTGTCCCAAAAAAATGTATCGAACGTTTGATCGTTAATATCTCTCTTCCCAAGAACTCTTTTGCCTTGCTTCAGGTACTGTTCTGTAGAGCTGGCTTCAACTTAGATTTGCATTATAGAACGAATTATCCATCTCTCTTCATTACTGTAGGATTACGGTAGAAACTTGAAACATATGGTGACAATTTGGGAAAAGCTGCCATTTCAAAATTTTTCAAAAAAATTTGAAAACTTGTGTATTGGGGATTTTTATGGACGCTGAGTGCAATACTCAACTACTCACAAGATTACGAAGCTTTCTAAACGGTGTAGCCGCAAACGGTGTAGCCGCACTTTTTAGGAACATTGAGAAAATGGCCACTACTGCTTACCTCGCATAACTCTTCAGTGAAGCATCATAGTAGGTTGGGAAGTTTACAGTTACGATCAGCATCTCTAATTAGCCTAGTGTAAAAGTTTTCAGGCTGTTTTGTTTCCTTTCTGAAGCAAAATATGGCCTTTCATTGCTTGAAACCCTCTTTGAAGTTTCCACCGTAATCCTTTAGTAATGGAGAGAGATGAGTGATTCATTCTATAATGCAAATCTAAGTTGAAGCGAGCTCTACAGATTGGTACTTGACGCAAGGAAAAAGACTTCCTTGGAAGAGAGATATTAACGATTAAACGTTCGATACTTTTTTTTGGGACACCCTGTATGTCCCTTTCCAAAAAGCTAAGTTAGGTAGCTTCCCCTGTGATCTCAAAAAAAAAGCTAGGAACTCCGAACAATTACAAACAACGTTTGATTTACAAAAACAAGATTTTGAGAAAGTTTAACATTTTTACTCGCCAATTTAGTTTCCTTCCCCTTTCTCAATTTTCCAAGCCATCGTAAAAGGTGTACGGCAACCAGAAAAACTTATTTAAGCAGTCAACGTGTAACATTCTTGTTTTATGTAAAACTCGAGATATTCTTCGATTCTTCTCTTTGGGAGAGTGCTTTTGCCTAACCCTCCAAAGTGCCCTGGTCTGTAAGACAGCCTGCCTCGTCCAATCGCTGCGGTAGAGCCAACCAATCAGAGGCGCACGATAATTAGGCTGCAAGGCTAGCGGTGCAGAAGGGCCGTCTCTTTTTTACGTTGTCAGAGTGATAGTATGCAATGAATGGGTCATTCTTCGACGCATGACGCATTCTACCGCTGGCGGTGTAATTTAACAACTTCATGTCTAACTTGTATTTTTTCAGTTGTCACATCTGCCGTGTTATCACACGTGTCTGTTTGCATAAAAATGCTTTTCGCAGTTGCTGTATAGTTCCAAAAGTACAGCAATCTCCAACATGATTGGTATACGTCATCAAATCTGAATCACATTATTCAGAGCTAGTGCAAAAAAAAATATTCTTGTTCAAAAATGTGGACAAAGCATTAGAAAAGTTTGATGATCACTATTACACGTAACAAGTATCTGCACTCATAGTTACACGATGAAAACACATTTGACGATGCAGTACCAATCCTATGCGTCAGGTCATTCACTCCCGCACATGACGCATTCCGCTGTTACGGTTCATCCGCTTCACACAATCGAGCTTGGCACTTCCTTTATTGTATCGTTAACCAATTTGCTAAGGCTTGTCACTATAAAAGTGCTTGGTAAACTGTTAGCACCAAGCAAAATGTTGCTCTACGGTTTTTTCATGGTATGTTGCACTCGCTAAAAGTTAGTCGGTAATTTAAGCTATTTCCAGATTTTGCCGGCATTTGCAGTCCACGAGTGTCCGGATGGTTTCTTCACTCGTGAAAAATGTTATCTGGACCAACCAAGTGGAGATAATCTTATCAGAGGAATTAAGAAATATTGCAATGATACAAGCAAGTCAGAAGGCAAATCTCCGAAACTGGTTGGTGTTACTTTTATGAGAATACTTGAACTAGAAATCGAGTTGGAATATGACGGATTACTGTGTCTTACAATTAAAAAGTCTTTACTTCAACGAAATTTATCGAAGATTGTCAAAAGCTACGTAATTCCACTACTCGAAGCGTGGAATACCGTGTTCTCAAGCGCTCTTATTCTACTCTAAGTTCTTTCAGACTTATCATGCCAAAAAGCTTTCGCTCCGTGAAAGACTCGATCACATTTACAGCAGCTGGAACGGCAGATGGGTTGACGGTACTTGGGGACTCGAGATGGATTTGTGAGTTTGATTTTCGCTGTTCAACTTCTATCTATTGATTGTTCTAGCAACGGACAAAATTGGTTTGCCATAGGAAGGGACCTTGCAGAAAATGCTCAACGTACCTATAAACGGATGGAAATCTGCACGGTAAGATAATTCAATTTCGCCAAATGACAGATCTATAACGGCGCGTTTTGTTTCTATGCGGACGAAACAAGTGCGGCGTTGCCTTGGCGCATATACTGTATTCATAACGATGCAAGAACTCGAACATTGCCAACTTTTTCCACCAAATGTTTAGATTAACTAAGTGACAAAAATGAGTTTGCTTCACTTGTAATTTATAGCTATAGAGCCGAAATGAGGTATTTTTGCACGATTCTAGTGCTTTGAGGGTAGGATCGCTTGCGGCGCACTGCAGCGATTCATAATTAAAAACAATCTGCCTCAACTGGGATTACACAACCACCTTTAGCATAATAACGCTCTTTGCGCTCGAAGACTGATAGAGTTGCGCTGCATAAAGTGTGCTATCGAAGAAGTCATAATAGAAAAACATAGTTCTGTCGGTTGACGCAGAGCTGATGAGATGCAGGCTTGCGATATCCTGATTTTCGCCTGATCCTGTCCCGCGTAAGCACAATGTTTAACACACATTGCCTATAGTTAGTCGGCGGCAAACTGTAAGCCATGTGCGCTAGGCGTGATGCTTACGCTCAGCTGGCTGCGGCTTGTTGTGCATACTAACCCTAACAATCAAAATCACTGAAGTTTTTACAGGACCTATTCGCAAAATGGACAGAAGCTGCATGCTTTAAGTACCAACATGGCATCGTGTCTCCTGTCTGGAGGATCCGCTGCGCTTTCTGTAACCAAAAAATAAGGGAAGGTTGTAACGGCACTTTTTATACAGATCTTGGCTATAAGTACGTCTAAGTTTCGAATAAAATTTCGTAAGATCCGTAGTTTCGATTTTTAACGAATTTCTTTGATTTGATGCTTACAGATGAGAAGAAAATTCTGGCACTTTGAAGCTAAAATTCCGGTTGATATCCGCTACGATTTGAGCTGATGAGGAGAAATGCTCAAGCGGTGTTTTGAATATCGACCAAAGTTTACTGGCTTGGGGGGAATACGGATTTTCTCTAGCTAATGCAGGAGACATAATAGTGCAATAAGAGGGTTTTGCGAAAGCTAAGAGTATCGTGATTAATGAGAAAATGGGAACGGAAAATGGCAGATAATTTCTGCAAGAGTCGCAACTAGCACCTCCGTCGATGTGGTGCTTTTTGAAGAGCTTTCTTCACCCTCAGAAATAATCCTCAAGTTTACTATGCTTCATTGAAGCATTTACTGATGTTGAAAACAGTCGCGTTTTCCATTTGCATGATCCTTCAATCCTAGCATCTAAATCTTTGTTTTCGTAATGATTTGTCTTTCTATGACCATAAGAAATACAACAAAAAATTGCGCCGGTAAAATCCAACAGCGATGAACATTTTTATAGTAGAACCAAATGAGTTGTAGAATATTGAGATCGATAGGCCTCCATTTCCAATCCTCCTCGTTACAAATTCTTTCATTCGATGTCGCTCGTTTGTTGGTTCTTCATCTGTTTCTATGGCAAACGATTATATTGATTTTTCAACTGGTCAGTTTTGCTATTTCTCAGCTTCATAAAAGAATAAACCATTCAGAAAAAAGACTTCAGTGGCTGGCAATCACCAAGCGATCATACAAAAAAGTCGGCAAACACGTATTATACTGCACTACACTTTTGTTTGATGCGCTATGACAAAGTTTTAGAATCGTAGACAAGGACAGGCAGCGTCATTTTCAACTTAGCGTATAAGTTTCGTTCCAGGCTGTTCTCCCCCTCTCATCTGTCAGGCGACCGGAAGTGTGGGCAACGGGTAAAAGGCTTTGGATTTAATTGCTATGACCGCGCGGAAACACTGATTTCGTGAGAGCGGTAAAATAAAGAGACGGTAATCAGAAAAAATGGAAAAATTAAACTTTATCAGCATGTATTTTTAAAAACAACCATGCATGATAAGCATAACTTCTTGATTAGAGGTCGTTCAAGCGTCATTTAGTTTTCTAAACTGAAACTGAAGTCTTTCGTAGAAACTGCTCTATACCTTATACAATCCGCTGGAGCTGCTTTTATTAGCCAATATAACTCCTGAGGCTTCACTAGAAATCCCCTCCTTTATCGCTTATAGATAATCGCACCGTATAGTTCGAGACCAGCTCACGTATCTCTGTAAAACACTGTCACTGTTTAGGTGTCAGATTATGGTGTTGATATTTTGCTCTATTCAGAACTTCGAAACCACTACAGCTTAAGAGATGGAACTTCATATTTACCTCGGAAACGAGAGTTGGTTCTTTGTAAAACGATTGAGGGAAGGGGATGGTCGGTAGTAAGGCTATCGGTATCGCGAGCTATTATTATTGGTCTGTTGCGCTTAGCTTTGTAATTTGTGAAACATCGTAATTTCTGTTAATTGAGTCTTTCGAATACATGGCATAAATTGAATATGATACTGATTGATTATAGATATGATCAGTTCAGCGAACATAAGGATGGTAGTATTGGCAGGAACGGAATGGGCATCATTGTAGAGAAAGGTTAAGAAACAGAATAACTGACGTGGATCGAGTAAGTGATCGATTCGTGAGCACCAGAATAGAAAATGGGAAGCGTATCCTACAAATAGTCACTGCTTACGCAACACAGCAGGTTGCAGTAAGGTAAAAAAGCGTATGTTTTGGGGAGAACTTGACGACTACATCAAATCCTGCCGTCTGCAGAATGCTACTTATTGGAGCAGATCTCAACGGCCATGTATGGAAACGGCGAGGTAGTGGGGGGAAAGTATCATCGTGGATACGGATACGGGCCACGCTATGAGGGAGGCGAACGCATTCTCGAGTTTGCTACTGCTCATGACCTGGCGTTAATGAATAACTATTCCATAAAGAGGAATCATTTGATTAAGTACACCAACGGAGGTCAAAAATCGTAGATAGACTTTGGAGCTTTCGGCAGGGATCGCAAATACGTGAAAGATAGCAAGGTGACTGGCGAAGACTGCATACCGCAGCATAGACCCTTTTACTAGATTTGTTTATTCCATGACAAGGGAAGAAGAATGACGGAAGGACTAGGCGAGGAAGAGGGGATTTAGGGAGAATCAAAAACCCAATTGTAGGTTTTTTGATGCAGAACAAGGTTATGTTAGACATGTGAGAAAATTACGTAAAGGAAGGAATATATTTGACTTTTTCTTTTCATAGCTACCTCAGGTGGCTGTCCATGTTTTTTTTTTGTTTTTTTTTTGAAGTTAGGTGGCTGGAAAGCCACCTAACTCCAAAAAAAGTTTGCCACGCCTCCAGTTCACACAACTTTTTCACAATTTTTCGCGCATAGTCCCAACTCCCTATTGCCCATCTACACATCAATTTTGGTATCATTTCATTTTCTCTTCCCGTAAACAAGTCTTTTGTTTATTTCGGGGTAGATTTGAAGCAGCGCGCTTTACCCGCGAACATGTTCAAACAGGAAACTTTTGTTCTGCAATCGATAAGGGAGAAATGACATTTTGCGTATTCTATAGAAGATGTGTGACATAAAGGCAGAAGGCGATCGTGTGTTATATCAACCCATATGTCTTCCCTCAACATGACGTGGATTACGTGGATTGATGGGCGCCGCCTCGCTAAAGGCTTGCGTCACATTACGAGTGCATCGTTTGGCGCGACGTGGCGCTCAAGATAACGTGGCACAAGCTTTTCCACGTTGTTCTTGTTGCCACACCACGTCGAAGATGCGCACACACCGTGGCGCGAGTCCGAAGCGAGGCGGCGCCTCATCAATGCACGTAATCCACGTCATGTTGAGGGAAGACATATGGGTTGATATCGAGGGTATGTGGGGGGGGGGGGTGGTGGGGTTTCCGCTTCAACGATGTCCCCCTTGCTTTTTATTCCGAAACGATATCCAGCTTGCCTTGTAAAACACCTGTGCAGAGCCCTGATACCAAAGCCGAAAGATCAAAGCTTGATAACGAAATCTGGTGCGGAATGAAGACGCACAGGTTGTGATAAAGGAAAAGAAGGCAGCATACAGGTTATCGCAAAAATTGCAAAGGGAAAGTGCTCACTAAATATACGTATACGCTAAACGTGCAGAAAAGAGGAGTTTTACAGAAGCAAAAAAAGAACTAAAAGAACTATATAGGAAACAGCACAACCGCTAAGGCAAACGCAACATCTATTTAATCGTAAGAAAAAGAACAACTGTCTTAAAAGATATGCAGCATTTTTACAGACAGCAGCAGGGCCTTCAGAAGACTTCCAAAAAAACACTGGGGTAAACACAGCAATTTTCCGTGCTGTCGCCGCTTTCAAGTTCGTCTAAGTCTGAATTAACTTTATCAATCCATCTTAGCTTCGGTGTTGCTCTGGGTCTTTTTTTCCGGAACCTTCTATAGAGACATTCCTAATTTAGCGTCGTGATCATCCTCCTTTCTTCTCACACGTCCGTAACAACCAAGAAGTCGCTTCTACTGTATTTTCTTCACGATCAAGGACTTTTATTGCGGCCCTCTTAATATCGTTGGTGACATGATCCATTATAGTCACGCCTGTCGTTCATCTCAGCATGCGTGTTTTCATCACGCTAACCCTTCGTTCTTCATTTCGCTTACAGAGCCAACATTCGCTGCTGTATAGAGCAGCGGGGCGGACTACGATACGGTATAAGTGGGATTTCAGCTTGATCATTCTTTTATCGCATAGAATTTCGGTGATGTTTTTCCATTTCGTCCAAGCTGAATTAATCCTGAAGGTGATCTCGTCCTGGAGCCGTGCTATCTGCGGATATATGGCTTCCCAGATACTTGAAAGTAGCGGTCTTCTTAGCTGGGATACTTCCGAGTTCCTAGCGTTTGAGCTTCCAGCTCCATGTACTCTGTCTTTGTGGTATTGATCTTCAGACCGTGCAGCTCAATTCAGTCTTCCACATTTGCGCTTCCTCCTCCAATTCTTTTCTATCTATCCATAAGCAACAGGTCGTCTGCGTATGACAAAGTCCACGGAGGTTTACATATGAAGATTCTCACTAACGTGTCCACAACCTTGACTAAGAG